TAAGTAACTTATCTAAGAGTTTATAGCTTGTTGGAGGATTTAGCCTAGGTCTAACTGGGTACAGTCTGCCCTCTTAGAATTCACAGTGCTGGTTTCTAATCTGTTGGATGAAAAATATTCTTTTCCCAGTGACAATGGCGATAACAGATGTGGAGTCAGACAGGAGTCCAGAACAGCCTCAGAATACCACAAAGGCCAATAACAGAAGCAAGTTACAATACATTGCAAGGAGGGGAGCAATCCTTTTGGAGGTCTCTGTGCTTCCTTAATATACTTTTAGTACATCTTTTGAAGGCCTGGCAGCTGAATGAGCTCTACAGAGCCCTGAACAGAACTGAAAAAACAGTATTCCTTGTGAGATGTACACTAATCCAAAGAGCCCAAGGACAAAGACACCTCAAATCCTTGCTTTAGTGAAATGCCCTGGGAGGTAGTAGAGCTGCTGTTAACTACCAGATGTAAATTAAATTTCTATGGGGGCCAGACATGGTGTCACGTGTCTGTAATCCCAACACTTGCGAAGCTTAGGCAGGAGGATCGCTACTAGTTCGAGGTCAGTCTGAGCTATGCAGTGTTTAAGGCCAGGCTGAATTACAAAGAGAGTCTCAAAAAACAAACAAATGAACCAACCAACCAAGCAAAGAAATTTTTTTCTATGAGAAAATACATACTTCAAACTGGCTTTGTAAAGTATGATGAGGAGTAAAGGGAACACTAGTACAAAAGAATTCCAATTCCAATAAACCACAGTTTAAAATGGAGGCAGTAACACAATAAGGAAGATAAACAGTAGTAGTAATAATATGTGATGTTTATTGAACACTAATCCTGCCCCACATCCTATTTTAATTGCTTATAATCAATGAACTCATTTAGTCTTTACAACTACCTATGAGTTTGGTATTATTAATGGCTCCATTTTATTTTGATGGGCAAATCTTCACTAGGGTTCAATGTCAGAGATGGAACTGAGCCTGCAGGTTGCTCTAGGATTCTGGATGCTATAGTTCCACCTTGGCTCACTACAATGATAAGAACTACTAAGTTTAAGAAACACTGGGGGAGAGGCTCTTTAAAACTTTGACTTAATCATCTTTAGCTTTCACAGCACTGAAAGAGAGACACTATTATCACTGTGACTTTACAGAGGAGCACAAGGAGAGTTAACGCAGGCAAGCACAAGAAGCTGAAGGTGCGTTTAACTGAGTGGACTCAAAAGACTGCACTCTTAATCTCCCGGGTAAAACAATGAGCCTCCCTCTGGAAAGGGGACCCAGCATCATCATCTGAGCCCCCCGGCCCAGGCAACTGTTTGCCGTCATTCTGAGGAGTACACCAGACCTGGGTAATGTTAAAGCACTTTCAGTGCTGGCAGATTGAGAAACGAGTATGAATTTAAAGGCAGTTATTGTGTTAATCACAGGAGCACTGTGTGTGAATTTAAAAAAACATCATTTATGCAGGCTTCCAATTGAAATATAAATTCCCAGCACCCCCACCCTTCTTAGACGTTTTTACAGCCTTCTTGACCCCAAGACCCTATGACCGATTCAATGACAAGGCAAGCAGTTTTATTCCAGTGTTATTTATAAAACTTTCAAAGACCTGGCATCTGAAGATAAGCCTACTATAGGCGCAAGGAGTGCAAAAATGGCTCAGCTGTGTGCAAACTGCATGGCCCTGGGAATAGGGTTTAGACTCTCTGAGCTCTGTCTGTAAAATGCAGCCTCGTTTTACAAAAGCCTTCAGTGAGCACTAACTACATGTCAACAATGTATGAGGTAATGGCAAATGTAGGCCTGGCATGATGGCACATGCCTGTAGTCCCAACACTTGGGAGGCTGAGACAGGAGGATTGCCATGAGTTCAAGGCCAGCCTGAATTGCACAGTGAGACTCTGCTCAAAAACCCAGAGTAAACTGGGGAGGTCTCAGGAAATTCAAAGATGAGCAAGAAGCACGTCCTACTCCTAGGGACTCCAGCTTTGTGAGAAAGAAGACAGCGACACTCATCTTGTAGGGTTACTCTGAAGATTAAATGCAGGATACACTCTAACACTGAGTAAGTGGTAGTTCTCCTGTTCTCTCAACCTATTATTTGAATAGTACGTGACACTGGGATTAAAAAATGCAAGGAGTAAGAATTTTTGAAGAGTATAGCTGCCTGGACTTTTGAAGTTAATTTTCTACTGTAATGTTTTTAGTGTTAAAAAAGAGAAAAAGCAAACAATTCCAAGGCACAGAAATCCACCGGGAGCAAGAGAGTGGCCAAGTAAGTTGCTCCAGGGACTGGCTCCCATTCGAACAGTAAGGCACATGCCAGTCTCCCTTTACAAGAGCTAAGGAAGCCAGGCAAAAGACCGGTGCCGAGTTCCAGGACAACAGGGCAGAGAGGAAAGAGGTGCTTGAGTTGCCCTCTCCCAACACCTAACAGTAACACAGAGACAGGAAATTAAATCCATTAGACTTGAAGTTCAGCACCAGGCCTACCACAGTGAAACTCCAAGGTACAGAAATCTATTTAAAATGCTTGATTAATTGCTATAGCTTTTTCATACCCGAGTTTTACCATAGGGTTTGTCGAGCTTGGAATTCTGAAACAAAAGCATCTTTATTGTGTTTAGAACATGATGAGTGGAGTTGGGTGTGTACTTTGACGGACAGTGTTTTCCTAGCACGTATGAGGCCCTGGGTGTTCTCTCTATCTCTCTCGTATATGAGGCCCTGGGTGTTCTCTCTCTCTCTCTCTCTCTCTGGTATGAGGCCCTGGGGGTTCTCTCTCTCTCTCTCTCTCTCTCTCTCTCACACACACACCCATATACACACACAGACACAAGCACACACATATTGGATGGTTCATAGGTAGAAGCTGTTAGCTGTTAGTGTTAATATTCTTATTGCAATAGCAAACTCAAATAGATCCCCACTCAATTTGATTCCCACTGAGCTAAGAAATAATTCTGAATAGTAAACAAAACAGGTCTTTGAACAGATAATAAAGAGCAATGGCTTTTGAGCGAATCTTCTAGATCTTTTCAGGTGTAGCTGAAGAAGTCTTTCTCCCTATAAAAGTATGCTGGGGAGATGACTCTTGGAGTTACATAGATGCTCAGACCAACAGACCCCCACGCCATCAGTCTAAATGGATATCTGACTCTGCTGACTTTGATACAACGTGCAAATCTGACCGCAGTCCTCCAAGCCTGAGGAATATGCAAGTGTGAAGGCCTCCTAAACAAAGGCCCCAAGTTTTCTGAGAACAAAGGCGCTTTTCCTTTTTCAAAGATCACTGAACCCCTTTATTTTCCCAGGATACTACTGGCTTTAGTTTTCAAATTCTAAGTAACCAGTGGTGTTTTCAGTCAGAAAAAGCCAGCTACCCTGGCTACAGAGACCTTTCTGTGGGAGCAGGAATGTGATTACAAGTGATGTAACTGGCAGCAAAAGAGCCTGGCCCAAAGCCACTGAAAGTGAGAACAGAACAACACAACTCAGTGGAGGGAAACAGAAGTCAGAGAAGGAACCCATTTCCCCTGGGCGTTCTCGGGGCAGGAGGCGTCCTGTGTCTGTGAGGGTCTGGCAGGTGGGGCGATGCCAGTGACCTCCCGTGGGCTAACGCTAAGGGCAACACCATGGGCCACACGCTCACACCTCACACCCGGTTTAATCCTCCATCACCTGAACTTAAGTACTTTTCTCAAGGTCACATAGGAAATGGCAAAGCTGAGATCCGGGCTCACTTCTGACAGATGCCAGGGACCAAACAATCTCAGGCCAAACAATGCAGGCAGCCAACATGGTGTCTGTCAATTAGAGAATGCATGTAAACAGCTGGCCTAACTACAGTACTGTCTTTTGGCAGGAAAGAAATGGGGAGGGGGCAAGAGAATCCTTTTTAGAAAAATGTTTTATTGTTTGGGTTTTTTGGTAGGGGGGATTGAACTCGGTCCCTTGCGCTCACGAGGCAGGCGGCAGAACCTCTGAGCTACATCCCCAGCCCTCTGGTTTTTTGCGACACGGTCTCGCTGTACAGTTCAGGCTGTCCTCAAACTCAGGGAACCTCCCAGGTGCTGAGACAATGGGGGGCCATCATGCCTGGGTATTGTCACTTCATGCCTAGTCTTAGTAACTCAGGCCATGTAACCAGTAAGCCTCATCAGCTATTCAACCTTCCATCACACTGTACTGCTTTCACAGCAGACTTTCTTTTCTTCCGGTTTTTGAGACAGGGTCTCGCTGTGTACTTCAGGCTGGCCTTGAACTCACTGTGAGGCCCAGGCTGGCCTTGAATTCATATCACCCTCATGCCTCAGCCTCTCAAATGCTAAATTACGGGGCTGCATCACATGCCCAGCTCACAGCAGAGTCCTAAGAAAAGCCAATAGATGACAGAGTATGATAGATAACGCCACTATGTAACTTGTCAGAATGTCCTCTGAGATAGCTACAGCCCGATGAATCCATGAGATGAGCTCTAGCAGAAGATAAAGAGTTAGGGTACACACAGCCAACTTTAACTAAAAGGCATGGCCTAAGTATAAAGTCAAATTGTCAGAAACTTTCAGTCTAGCACACAGATAACTGTACAGAAACTGCTTATTTTGCTATGCACTGGCTACCAGCACCACTGAACCTCTTTACATCTATTGTTTTGCTCCCTACCTTAAGAACATTCTCTATCATCTTCATAATTAAGAAAACTGGGCTTTTCAAAACAACCACCAATAATGTCTCCAAAAGATAAGATTATAACAACAAATAATACCTGATTCAGTTTGACAGGAGAAAAAATACTCATGGTAGAGATGTAGAAGTACAGGGCCACCACAGGACAAGGTACAACGGTTTTGTAAGAGAGCAGCCTAAGCCATCTGATCCATATCCACACATTAAAGACAGCTGGGCAGAACTTCAGTGCTGGTTACATCATCTCATTTCCTTCCTGCTCCTTTCAGGAGGTCAGAAAGCATAACAAACAGGTGGGGAAGCCCAGACACTTACAGTTGCGTGTGAGATGGTCAGAATCCCATTCTTGACGGCACACTTCCTTCTCTGCCACACTTTCCGGATCCTAGGGAGCAAATCAAACAGAATGACACATAGAATCAGATTCACTCCGAGACATGCAATCAGACAGCAATGCGAAATAACATCACAAAAATCCCACCCCTCCCCAGACTGCACAAAACAGAAAATTCTGGTTCTTTTCCTCTCCCATGTGGAAAGTATTTGAGCCAAGTAGGCACGTAAGAAGGTGTTTATTTACAGCATTGGTTTTGATAGTGGAAATGGCAAACAGAAACAACGGAAATCTAACAGTGGGAGGATAAATAAATGAATCAGATACCACACAGGTAGACATCTTCCTTTCTGGGAAGGGGCACAGATCTTCAGTAGAAGTGGTACTAATGAGGAATTTTTAGCTACATCTATGAATCCTACAAGGAGGTTTTATTAGTTGATTACTTCTGCAATTAACAGATTTTTTAAAAATCAAGAAGTAAGCCAGGCTGAAAGAAGTGGAGGTGAGGCTGCCTCACTCAGGATACAGAGAAAGGACTCAGTGTCCAAGGCACAAGAACGTATTGTGACTGTACTTGGTGACTCATACACCGTGCCTTTGAGGTCTTCCAGAGCCCAAATGATGCCTCAGAGCCCTTGGAGCAAGAATCATGTGAGAAAGTAAGTTGTAGCCAAACCATTTATAAGCAGCTGTTCTATATACTTTGGAAAATTTGATTTGATGATGCTGGAAGATGCAAAAAGCCAAAGAGAAATAATTTAAACTAGGAAGAGTTTTTTAGAGGCTCCAGGTAGAGTCAAGAGACAGAGGGAGATGCAGCTGCACTACTGGGAACCTTTTCTGCCAGGTAAACAGAAATGGGCAGGGAGCAGGTGGCTGACATGTCTTTTCTTTTACTCTTCAGAGGGACTTAACCAATTCTGCAATGTGCCAGGCACTGTGCCATGTGATGAGGATGCTCTTCCTTGTTCACACCCAGATCAGCACAACACGCCAGCCCTACCCTCATTATTCAGAATGTGACTGCTCTTCACTACTGCTGCTCCTCTGACCCTGCCGTCACCCTCACCTGCGATTCTGCAGCAGCCTCCTAATGGATCTGTCTTCTGCTCTTAAGGGCTACAGTGTAAGTCCTTCTTAGAATGGTATCCAGAGAGAACCTTTCAAAACCAAATCATGTCACTCCCCTGCTCAAAACCCTCCCAGGTCCCCTGTGACCCCGTGTCCTACGACCCTCTGGTTTGCTCTCTACTGCAGTGACCCTGAACCTTGGAATCTACCACACTGGGAGGCGTGCTCCTGGACACTCTCTTCTCCCGGGTATTGCACAGGCCACGCCCTGACTTCCTTCAGGTCTGTGCCCAAGTGTCATCTCAGTGACGTGTTCCCTGACCACTTGTGGGATGCAGGAGCCCCTCCATCCCCACCCTCCTTGCTTCTTTTGCTTGCTTGGTCCTTCTCCACAGTACTAACTGCCAGCTGACTTTCCAAATACTCATTTTCTGTGCTTCCTTCTTTAGAATATAAGCTTTGAGAGGGTAAGGACTAAGATACTTACTGAATGCATGAATAAGAGTGGTGAGCAAAAAAAGACAATGATCCCAGAAATTTGAGAAAGATGTCAACAACCTAAAACAAAAAGTGTCTGCCCCTTAGATGAAGCCAAGAGCACATATCCACAAGCAGTGAGAAATTAAGGAGTTTTCTTTTTAAAAAGGATAACAGTTAGTAAAGGGAATAACCAAGAGATTAATTATGTAATTACTATGAAGTGGAATCATCTGTTCAAATAGGCCAGCGTGGCAGGACCGGGGAAGGAATGGCACAAGGGGAGACGATGAGGAAGGCTTGGCAACACGCTACATGCAAGGGGAGACAGTGCAGCACTCTGAGCGAGGGAATGACAACCAGCGCCGTGCAGGTGTGAACAAAGTGCTCTGAGTGCTGGGTAGAGGTGAGATGGAGAGGGAGAAGAGTGAGAAGAACAGATCAGTAAGGAGGCTGCTAAGAAAGTCCCGGAGAGATAACAGTGGATCACCTTAGAGCGGGGGCAGCAGAAACAAGAAGTATATGATTTTTAGAGTTAGGGAGGAAAATCTTTCCTCAGATTGGCTGTGATGTAAGAGTAAAGGTCAAGGGCGACCCTCAAGGTTGGGTTTGGGGCAGCCAGGTAGACAGCCCATTGCAAAGATAAAAGCAGAGAGGTGGTTCCTCAGCTCTTGCCTTCCTAAAGTAGAAGTTGCAAGTCAAGTGCTACTTGGGGGCTGCAAAACAATTACTGCTTTTTTAAAAAAATAAAGACTGGTTAAATCATACCTATCTGAGGAAACCTAGTGTACTGGAAAACTTTTAAGTATATTCTCCAATCTAAGAGGCTGGAAAAAGTTCCTGCTTAATAGCAGTAAGCACACTAGTCACATCTTGCCCTGGGCTCATACTCACCCATCGCTTTTCTTTAGCAGGTAACCCTTCTTTTCACTGCCATATTCCTTATTGCCCTGGAGCTGATGCATACTGTACCCTCCTTGCCGGCTTTGGGAATCCTAGAAAACAGAAACCACAGATTAAATGAAAACTGCAGACAACTCTCAGATCCTTGACTCTATGCTACCATTGAGCCTTTGCCCACTGGTCTAAGAAAATTATGGATCTTTGAGAGCTATTAGGTCCTTGCCTTCATTTTACAGGGGGAAACTGGACAGGTAAACATTTGCCAGGATCCAAAGCAGGTCTGAGGCAGATGTGGACCCCCGGGTTCAGGTCTCCAATTTCTAGTTCAGAACCCAGCTCTGCTGTGAAGTGAGTTCAAATACACAGAAAGCACTGGGAGACCACTGACTCGAGCAGTGGAGACAAGCACAAGAAGTAATGGAGAGCCAAAGTGGACACAAAACAAAGCCCACGCGATGTGCCAGTGCTCTTCTGTTAGGCTACACCTTTGCTCCCTTAAATATTCTGCGAATTTACTCTAAATAAAAGGGGAACGTCCTGAGACCTAAACAATGATTATGAAGTTTCTATTTTATACCTAACTATTCTGAACATCCCAAATTAAAAAATCTAACATCTGAAAGTTTTAAGTGCTGATAATCCCAAAAAGTCTGTGAAGCATTTCAGACTTAAAATTTTTCAGATTAGGGTTACTCAACTAGTAAATCTATGCAAATACTCCAAAATCTGAAAAACTTTGAAATCTGAAACAGTTTGGTCTCAAGTGTTTCAGGTAAGGGATACTCAACCTGCGGTGTTCTGTAATAGACCCCTACCACACACATCTTGCTAAGCTGCCCAGGCTGGGCTTGAGCATGCTTTTCATTCAAAAAGATCATTCTATGGGAGTGAGAAGCGTATGATATGGTGAAGGTGACAGGGCAAACCAACAACACAGATGCAAACAAGCCTGATTTCATGTTAGCACCCCACTGGGCTTGACCACAGCATCTAGGACAGCATGACTGGAAACAGCAGTTACACTATGAACATGTAAGAAACAAATGAACAGTGTGGAGCTACAGCATGAGAACATGGGTCTCCAGACATGTAATAAGGACAACACACTCCCACACAAAGCATTGACTTACTCTCCTAGACTTCGATCAGGAAGGGCAAAAGCAACAGAGAAAAAAGGCAGAACATTTGAAAATATAGTTAATTTTGTTGAAAACTTTATCGCCCATAATTTTAGCACTTTATATATAATGCACACAGAAAACATCACTGTAAAGATAAAAATCACTGTAAAGGTAAACTATATACACCTTTAGAATTATGATAAACTCCAGGTGGTGGGACAATAAAATATCTTTATACCTATCATGTTTTATTTCAGTTCATGTTGAGTGCAGAAACATAGTTAAATGAAGACATGAGGTACACATTTTACCAAGATAGAATGGTTGAAAAAACTCAAATGTGTGCACACAGGGAATCAATATTTTAGTGAAACCAAAACTGAATTACTAAGAGCCACAATTCTGTCCCCCCTCTTAGGGTGAAGAGAACTTAAATATACCCAGCTCATAAGAAACACCTGAAATGTGATGGGCTGAGGGAGGAAGCTCAGTCAATCTCTGGTTATTCACGGATGACTGTACAGCATATCTTTATGGCCAGGATGGCTTCTTCTAGACATTCAGGACCCTTTTGGGCTAGCTGGTGTGTGCTCAGTGATGCACATTAATGTTAGTAAACAGTCGAAGGAACATCTCTGGGACAATGTGCTTTTATAAAGCTATTCTACTTGTGATGAATTCTGTGTTCAAAAACATGTCCCAAACACAACCCAAAAGCCAGGACCCAGTGACTGAGGACAAAGGAGTCAAGCCCTTACTCAGGTGGATGCTCACTCTGATCGTATCACTGTCCTGCTCTCTTGGGCAGTAAATGGCAGCTGATAGCACAGGGACCAGGCACTGGGACACATGGGAAACAGGTAACCTTCTTAATCTGTGTAATTTCCCTCTTTCCCAGGCCGGATTCCTTCCTCTAATTGGACAATTTTAATTGTGTGGGGAAGGATCAAGCATAGGCTGAGACCTAGAAATCTCTAAATGTTTACAGTTAAACAGAGTTCACAGTCTTGAACTACACAGTAATTTGGCTAAGTCCTCATGCTTTAGGAATTAGAGTAAACACCAGACAGGCAAGAAAAGCAGCCTTACTCTACTAGTGCCACCAGCAACAGATCCCAGGAAAAACAGGAGGAACAGAGTTTTTTCTGGGACAGTGGGGGGCACTAGTGTGCCCATAACCCTAATTATAAAACATTAGTTCTGAAAATGAGATCGGGTGGTAAGGAAGAGGCAGGGATAAATAAAATTCATGGAGTTTCCTGTTTCAATCCATGAAATTGCATGAAAATTACTACTATTGCTTTGGAGCCAGGAAATCTCCTCTATCTCCTGGAAACATTAAAAATGAAATCAGAAATCTCCTTAGGATCAACTCTTATTAAAAGAATTCTCTTCTGAGAACCCTTGTCATTGAACTGAACTTCTCTTTGCTCACATAACTCTTAGGTCTGAATGCTGTAAACTACGTATTTTAACTCATGTGCTAACCTTTAGAAGTCTAAGTTAAAAAAATAAAAAGCCCTTATATATTCTCCTAAATACAGATTCAGATATTAATGATGTATAGAAAACTTACTATATTCTGCAAATTTAACATGAAGATATTCCTCACATATATTAGGAGGCTACCTAAACCTTAAATTCTGAACAGCACTTGGATTAACTGGGTTTGTTGTACATCAGACAAACACACTGTTAGAAATGCATCGACTCTGGCTGTGACTTCATTCAGATGAGCAGGAAGAAAGCACTGTCCCAGAAGTCTAGCACTGGGGACCCTAATTAACCATGCACAAGTTTCCTGCCAGTTACGATTTGTGCACTCTGAGAAACATGGTTGTTCGGCTGGCTTAGCAAAGCAACATAAATAGTGAAAAGAGGATTTTCTTCTATGAGAAGGTAGATACTGAAAAATTAACAATACTAATCATGATTTAAAAATGCACATACTATGTAAGAAATGAAATAGATTCTGAAGACCAGACAAAATACTGCACAGAGAACACACTGCTCACATGGTTACCAGCATGGCAATGGTTTGTAAAATAAATGAGAAAAACATATCCTACTAAAACACATCTAAAATATATACATATATCTTTAAATATGTAATTTAATATGCATACATTTAAAATTTTTGTATATGAACCATACACATACACATAGGAAAAAATCTGAAAGAATGGACAACAAATATTAAGATGGCTCTCTCTGAGTAGTGGAATTTTGTTTTAATCTATATTTGCATATGTTTTCTACAATAAACATGAATGATAATTTGTGTTAAATAAAGAGGTAGGTCTTGAATTCTTTGACAGCATAAGAGAAATCAACCATGCATTTAGGAAAGAGAAATGCAAATGAAAAAAATCATTTGGGCAAAAATACATAACACTAAAAATAAACAATGGACTTAAAACCTTGGGGGAAATTTCACAATAGACTGAAACTATTATTTTTAGTTCATTTCCTCTTCTCTATTAGTACAAACAAATCACATTTTTATTGGAGGCCATATTAACATATCAAATGCACTATTAAACAGATTATTAAAATCTCAGTTCTCTCTAAATGGCAAGCAGTTAAACACTCAAGGGTTTAAAGGGTTTAAAGGGGTTACACATGCATCTGGTATCCAACTTAAAACTAAACCTCTACTATGGGAGCTTCAGATTGCCTGTGTATGGTGTGGGTGGGCAAAGGAGTCCTCCTGGATCATCTTACTAAGTATTTACTGAGTAGTTTTTGGTGCCAGGCGACGTGCCAGATTGCAAAGGTGAGAGAAGAGCAACGTCCAAAGCCCAGCAGGCCTGCAAACTACACTGAGATGGGCTGTTCAAGGTGCACCAGTGACTCAAACAGAAAGCCGTGATTTTTGGAGTGATTTTGTATTCCATAAATATGATTGACATATGTCACTGTTAAAAACATTTATAACACTAAACATAGTTATATAGCAAATAGTTATTTTATGCAAGGTTAAGAGAATTCATTTTATAGTACATTTGCCAAAGACAAAAACTTGACAAGAAAAAAATGAACCTTTCAAAAATCCATTTACAGAGAAAACCTATTAACAGAGAAAATTCTTAAGTTTCCTTTAATGAGCTCCATTAGAACCTGGTGGAGGTAAGTAGGTTAAATGATTTTGGGGCACTTTTGTCTTAGGTTAAATGTGAGACGAGAATATTCACCAGAGAGTTCTTGCCTCAGCAATACTTTTTGAGAAGATTATACCCTAGGACATTAAAAATCCTTACCAGCCAAACATACTTTACAACAAGAGATGATAAATAGCCTGAGAAAGGGAAAGGCATGTAGGGGAGATCAAGTTTTCTTGTGAAAAACTCTGAGCATGGTGCTAATGAAAACCCATTAATTAATCTGGGGTGGAGTTAAATCAAATCATGGGCATTTTATGATGTCCATACCCCTTTGGCTTAGCCGAAACTGTAACTTAGCTAGCCTGAGCAGAATGCATCAGTCTATGCAAAACAAAAAAGGATCTTTTTTCTCTTTCAAGGAAGTGCCCATATATAGGAAGGAAGGAGGTAATCTTGTGTCTCAAAATAAAGGCAGGAAGTGGTCAAGGGCATACCGGTAAGTAAAAATTCTCTTATTTTTTCCCCTGGACAGAAATCTGCCCCTTCTTCCCTTCAAACTGGATCATTCTATTGCACTTACATGGAGAAGTCATTCACAGAGACCACTTCTCCTAGGGTCTGTAGGCCAGTGATAAGCACTTTCTCAATGTTTCAGTCTTTAGTGTGCTGGGGCTCTGTCACTGGGGCCCTAAAACACAGGCTGAGCCCTCAAAGCAGATGTGCAGTCACAGTGAGACCACCTGGTACAGATGCTGCCTGCACGCACAGATCTCTCTGGCCACTTGGCCTACTCCACAGGTGGGTGGGTGGGCAGCACGCAGCGTCAAAGGGCTGCATGCTTCTCTCACCTGACCAAAACCCAGGGAAGATAAAACTATGCTTGGAGAAGCAGAAAATTGAGTTATAAACACTCGGCAGAGAAAACACTCAGGGTTGTTGTAAAGGCCAGTGTGGCTGGTGCAGGGCTTTCCATGTCTGGAGCTGAGGGCTGCTTCATCTTTTAGACTCATAAATGCCTTTCAGAAATTTTAAGAATTTTAAAAAGTGAGAGTGCCATTGTTGTAAGATATCTTAAGGAACTGACAATATAAAAAACATGTTTCATACAATTATTAAATATTACATTTAAATATTATACTTAAATTTAATTCACAATAATTTCATAACAAAAACAGGCACATTTTACTTTCTCCCATGTAACAAATGGTGCTTATTGTTTAATTTACCCTTATTATGAAGTCCCTGGCCCTTAGTACAAGATCCAGGGTCTTTCACAATGAGGTCTGAGTTTTTATCTCAGAATCCGTTTCTCACCCCTCCACCTACCCTGTTCTAAACTGCTTCAGCGCCTGAATACCAGGTAGTTTTCCACCTGACTCATTTAGTTTCCTTTGTTGTAGGCCACTTCCATTGCATCCCAAATAGCATCAAAACCAATTCAGACATGACTGACTGTCCATATGGTTGGTGTGTTCTACTAGATAATGAGCTCCTTGATGTAAGGGACTACAGCTTAATATCTAGAATGGGGCCTGGCACATGGTGGGTGTTAATTCCACGTGTGAACAGATGGCATTTACATTAATTATTTGCCATATTCACCCAGCACCTACCATGTACTGTGTATTGTTTCAATATCTAAGGACCATCTCACATTAATTTTCCTAACTGTGGGGCAAAGCTCAAAACATTTTCTTATTTTCATGGCAAAATGAGACATGCCCTTTCTGGCTGTCCAGAAAGATAGAGATGGTCTAACGCTGGTGATGGCAAACCTTTTAGAGCTTTCAATGAAAACAAATAGCCGGGCTCCACATACAAGCTGTAATTTTGCCACCACAGGTCTAAAGACAGTCATAGGAATCAAAAATCGAGAGTTACAGAACTGTGAATAAAGGGTATCTTTTTTATAAGGATGGCAACAGAACTAAAACTCAGTTTCTACACTGGGCATTACCACGTGTACATACTAGTATCTTAGGTCTCATTTGACCCCACCCTCTGGCAGGAAGCTATCAATGTGCCTGTTTTGGAGATCAGGAAACACAAAAAGTATAGCACAAGGAGGCTCACTTACACTGTTAGCCCTGCTGGGAACATATAAACCACCTACTTCTTTCTGATCAAGCTGAAGGGAGGATTTTATTAAGTCTCGGAGTGCAGTTAGCTGTTTCTTTTCTTCATCCTGGGTCTGTTTTATCTATGAAAGAAAAAAATTAATTCCATTACAAGTTGTTTATGCTTTTATGAAGGGTTTAATTTATCATCAAACAATTATACAGCTGATTTCCTTATTAAAGTCATTCATAAGATCTCATTTTTTATAAAAGAGGCACAGGTATCTTATCTTGAGAAAGTACCAGTCAATTCTAAAATCAGGCACCACGCTTTCTTATTAAATACTACATCTAGCCTAGACAATTATCTCTGAGCACTATTTCATATAGGTTAAGAAATTATATTGAAGCCAGGCATGTGGCACATGCCTTTAATTCCAGCTACTTGGGACTCTGGGGCAGCAGGATCCAAAGTTTGAGATCAGTCTGGGCAACTTCAATCAATTCCTCACCCCTAACACTCTTCATTCCATTCTTCCTGTTATTTTTGTGATATTTAAAAATTATACAAGAATATAGGGTGAGCATTTTTTAATCTGAAATTTTACACAGTATTTTTAGTGCACCTGCATTGTGACTGTAACTTATCACAGGAGGACAGGTGTGGAGTTTTCCACTTGTGCCATGTCAGTCAGCACTCAAAAGTTTCAGAATTTGGGGTATTTTGGATTTCAGATGTTTGGATCAGGGACACTCAACCTGTATATTTGTATTATTTGTAATTCCAAAACTTTACCTGAAGATATGCACTCATACATATATATACTTTTTGGTCTTAAACTCACTATGTAACTCAGGTTGGCTTCAAACTCAAAGTGATCCTCCTGCCACAGCCTCCCACAGGCTGGGATTACAGGCGTGTGCCACCATGCCCAGCTAAGACATATTCTTTTAATAACCATCACTGAGTGGTTTACAGGCAACAACACTACTCATCACTGAATGGTTTATAGGCAACAGGCCTGTCAGTTCTACGGATGTAGTTTTTTTCTCAGAGCTTTCTTTTTGATTTTCCATTATTATAGCAAAACCTAGACACTCAAAAACAATAAAAATATAAAACTAGATAAAGAAATTCATAAACTTCCTACTCAGAGACAGTTAATTAATTTTTATCCTTCCATGATCAAGCATTCTCTCTGCAATTGCTAACTAAAGGGCAATGAAATGTGAAGCTCCTAAACCCTGAACAGAGAATCATCTAGAACCAAGGGATATACACTCTCTTTCCAGATGCTTCCATGCCCCCAAAGATGCACTGGAATACCTGAACACTGATGATGTCTCTGAGCTGAACCGAAGGCTTCTCTACCCTGGTTTTAAACTGACATATCACTTAATCTTTCCCGCTTCTAATACAGATTTCAGATTTACTGACATTTATGACAGGCTGGAATGTATGTATTGCATAGGGAACTTACGTTATATAAGTCAGCAGCCAATTTTTCAATGTACTGCTTCAATTTATCAGCTGTTTTCAAGCCATCTTGAAAGAAACTGCAATGGGAAACAAAGGCTACATTTACCAGTAATATAAAAAAGGAACTGTAATTACCCACAAAATCTGAAAATACACACACACACTCACACAATACATTCACTCCCTCCAATGTAAAATCAATTTCAGTACTTTATAAAGCTATACTAACAAACTGCGGCTACTGTTTGACATGTGACAGGAGATGTCACTGTCTATATAAATTACAATTGTAGTCCTCACATGAGGATTACATACTGTACTTTCCCATTGTGTATGCCCATCTATATGTAGGAGAATTCCTCCTGGTAGAGGCATATTTGAATTCAATAGAGAAACGCATCTCAGCTTCTGCACAAATGAAGTCAACCTTGACACCACAGGAGAGATGTCTGAACTAGAGGAACAGGTAGGAGGGAGGGAAGAGCTCTTTAAGTTTCCCCAGAGATCTCTGGGTTCCAACACATACGCGAAACACAGGACTTCAAAGCAATGAGGTATCAATGGATCTGGAGAGCTGTATCCTATCACATACAGAAAAGGCTTGAAGTATTTCACCTGAACAATAACAAAAGCTACTATCTGTGAGGCATTTAGTGGATGCCGAGCACTGCACTAAGCACTTTACACAAATCAGTTCATTTATGGTCTGACTTTCATGAATTAAGTGTTTCAGTCTCATCTGGTTCCCAGAAGAGGCACAGGTGAGGACACAACTTGCTCTGCTTGCTCACACAGAGATGAGATCCCGTGACCACTAACTACGATGTGTCACCTCGACTTGAGTAGGAGCCACCAAGAAGATGAGTAAAACTCGGCATGTGCCTGTGAATGACTGCCAGGTAGGCCAGCACACTGAGAGAAGACACACCCCACCTGCAGGTGGCACCAACCAGTAAGTTTGTAACTTGGTTGGATTAAAAAGAAAAGAGGAGGAAGTGTTTCCTTTTCAGAGTGCTGGTCTTCCCCACTGCCTCTGAACCCTGGTCTCCAGTCTCTGCAGCCTTCCAGCAGACTTGCGCTGCCGACTACACTGCGCTTCCACGCCTCCAACTTCTGACTGTTACTGGGGGCCCCGGCTCTGCACACGCAGCCAGCCACTCTGGGTCCCTGCACCTGATCCCGCAGAGCCACTGCGACTCCTGCTTCTGATCCTGTATGTCTGTCTACCTAACAGCATCCTTTGCACAATCACAATCACAAGTGTGATGGATCCTGTCACCGATCTTGTCCCTCTAGAGGACCCTAACCAACACAAACTGCGATCCGGGCCGGTCTGATTCTGTACCCATGCTCGTGCATCAGGTGAAGAGATTTCTTGTCTCAGGTGGGCCACGCCACCCAGAAACACAGTCTGTGCAACTAGTTTAGAGAAACAGAAGGCTGTAGAATGCTGCCCCCCTGGAAGCTTCTTTAACTATGTTTCTCCACAGAGTAATCTGTTCTGTTGTCTTCTCACAAATGCTGAGGACTGTGTCATCTCCATATCACACTGGGCACAGCATGAGGCAGATGCTCAGTTAGTGGCTTAAATGTGACAATATCAAGAAATGCTAGAATAGGGATTCACATTTTCTTTTAAGCTTAGTACATACTGTCATTGTCAACAATATCAGATTCTATCAGAACGGGCCTTCAGAGTTCCTGAAGTCTTAAAGTGTCAACACTGTTTAAGGCTGACATAAGAAAAGCACTATTTGACAAAGTCCTCCAGAGGCAAGGAGGGAAGAAACAGAACTTTCTGGTCAGCTGTTTACCTAGAAAACACCTTTAAAATTTTAATTTTATTGAGACAAAGTCTTACTATGTAGCTCAGATTGGCCTCAAATCTAGGATCCTCCCACCTCAACCTCCTGAGTGCTGGGACTACAGCATGTGCCACTATGTGTGGCTTGGAAAACACATTTAAATCCTAATTTTCTAACTCTCAGGTTTTCATCACTGCCTATAAGGAAGTAAGTTAAATTACTCTGTGCAGAATAAAAGAACTTTTTATGTTCCAGGCCCTGAATACTGGTGTAGTTTTATCTCCTACCATTTTCCCTTAAAAACTCTATGCTCTAGCCATGCAACATTATTTCTAGTCATTTGTTCCTTTTTAACCCATGAGTGATAGCAAGGATGCAAATGCTTCCATCACTGTAGGAAGGTCTCCTGGACAGTGCTGCCCTATAAATAATTTAACAGATCTGAAGAATATTCAGAAAGTGTTCCATTTGCAGTATGATTCTATTATTAAAAATAAAATAGATACATAAGTCCACTAATCTTTTGTTTTTTGTAGTTTTTTCAGTACGGGGGATCGAACTTGGGTCCTTGCGCTTCTGGGGCAGGCAGCGGAACCACTAAGTTAAATCCCTGGCCCTCCACTAATCTTTTGGATGAGGAGCTTACAGATTTTTAAATTTTTTTCTTCACCTTTATTTTCTAGTTATTTTTCTAAAAAAGACTATACATTCCTTGAGCAAAACAAAATTAAGAATCAGTGGATGCAATCTGAGACCATAATATTAAGTGAAATAACTCAGACACGCAAGCTTAAATATTGCAAGGTTTCTCTTATTTAAGAAATCCAAATTTAAATAAATTAAAGAACAAAATAGGAGGTAGAAGATAGGAGACAGAGAGATCTTTTGCAAAAGGACAGGGGACCTAGAGAGGACATGGAGAGGAGGGGATTTAAAAAAGAATTAAGATGTGTTATGTACATGTACAACTCCTCACAATGAACGTAATCATTATAGCAATATTAGAACACTCATGCACTAATAAAGAAAGTTCTCAAAAAAAAAAAAAAGAAGACAATCAATGTTTAGTCTGGGAGGAGAAGTCCAAGGCAAGACCTTTGGAGAAAGTCTAGTTTTTCACAAGAAGGAAGAGTAGAAATGAAAGAGCAGGAGAACAAAAAGATCGTGACAGTGATCAGTAATGTACTAGTAATGCCGCAAGGATCAAACACCAACGTGCTGTCTAGCCCTCCAGTGACTCCTTCCTCTGTGCTAGTTCTCCTTCTTCAAGAGCGGCACAGTTCCAGCAGTGGATGGCTGGACCACAGAGTTGCCACTTCCCGCCACAGCATGTCCCTGAGGGCGGCAGGTTCTCAGTTCCCCTCTACTTTCCTTCCTCCTGGAGCTGTAGCTCAGCGGAAATGCATGGGCCTACGAGTCAAAAGTACATCCCACTTTAGCTCTAAGCCTTAAGAGGCTTGTGACCTGGGCTGGCTTACTGGCCCTGTGATGAACAGCAGCATGCTCATATCCAAAGGATGACACTTTCTTACTCAAGGGGCATCGATGAGTTACTACCAGTTGTTCTATGAACTGATAAGTGAAGCACAAATGCAGGTTCTGATTACCTGTCACCCGTATGGAGCCCGCCTGTCCCTTAGCCACTTTCTCTGTGCGTTACTGAAATACGAGATCTTCAGAAAACAGGTGCAACAGTCACAGTGACGCCAGCCAGCATGGGACTGTTTCCTCTGTGCCAGGCACTCACCATTACATACTGTTCATGGAATATTTCTTTTTAAAAGTCTCATTATGGGGAGACAAGATGGAGAGTGACTAAATAACCAATGGGCAATGATTTAATCACAGTTGTGTCAGGTAACGGAGCTTTCACAAAACTTCCTGAATGAAGGGGTCCAGAGAACTGTGTTAGTGCCAGGAAAACAGCAGACTTCAATTGCTTGGGGATAGAAACTTCTATGATCAGAGCCCTTTTGTACCTCATCCTAGGCACTGCTTCATCTGGCTGTTCATTTGTGTCCTTTCTATAGCCTTTATTTTTGAAAAAATTTTACTGGTACTATACTATATATCACTGTCATCATCAGGAATCTGTACCTGAACATGATATATCTCGCTTCTTTTTTTCGCCCATTCCTCTCCCCTCCCTCCCTCCTTATTTACAAAAGCCTTGGTTCCATTTTTTCCTTCTATTCTTTTTCTCTTGTCCTTTCCTACAGTAAAAGTTAAATGCAACTCAGCAATAGAAAATTATCATTAGTCCTTACATAGAAAAAGAAGATAAACACATGGAGAGTTCTAGTGAGCACCAGAGATAACAAAGGTACTTAACACATCAGGCCCTGAGAAACAGTTTGATACCTAGTGGCTCCAGGCCAACAAAAAGGGCTTCATTGTTTTTCTGACCTTAGAAACGGCAAGACTAGCTTCACATGTTAAGCAGCTTGAAAAACACATTACCTTGTAATGACAGAGGATGCTAAGAAAATGTAAATTGCCAACGGATGGGCAGAGGGACCTCACATTTACACTGACAGACTGAAACACCTCACAGCTGCCAAGGGCAAGCTCGGGAGCACTGAACACGGGACCCCTCCACTGGCAGGGCACATCTTCCCGAGGACAAACCAGAGCCTTCACATTGAGAAAAGGATCCTACGTTCTTCATTTATTTCTTGGGTCACTGTATCCAAACAGTGACAGGAAAGGAAAACCAAGCAATACAAGAGTATCTCCCCAATTCTTATCATAGATTCTGTTTGGCTTACAAAGAAATGCTCTTTGGCCAAAAGCTTAAAAGGCCCCGAGAGCAGAATATTATTTCCAAAAGAAATTATCATATTCTATAGTATCATGGCAATTACTTTACAAATTACAAAACAAGAAATGAAGTGAATAACCTTCAGCCTCTTCTGCAAGCCTGCTTTCCAAGCTTCAGGCTGTAAGTCAAGCACTGATTTCCTACATTCTAGGGGTGGCTTCTTCTTCCAGATACATTCCATAGACATCCTGCAGCATTCAAGAAACTTTGAGGCATAGTACTAATTAACAGTAAATACATCTCAACAATTTAGATCAAAGGGACCGTAGGGAGTAATATATTGGACCCACATTTGGAGATTCTTACAATGTGGATGTATAGGTCCAATCTCAAAATGTCTTGCAAACCGTTTAGTAACATGCACTTAAAGTTAGAGGCCTGGGTTGAAGACACATGTTATGGCTTGTGTCTAGCTGTCCCCCCAAAGCCTCATGCGGTCATAGGTGAGGCTTTTCAGAGGTGGCTGGATCTAGAGTGTGTGATGCTGAGATTAAGGTGTGGTTCTGGGATCAAGTGTGTGATTGCTAAATTAGTCTGATTGGTTTGGCATAGTTCTGGGTAGGATTAAGGGTGCTCTGCCCTCAGGGCGGTCTAGATAAAATATAATGGACACTGCTGGTTCACTACTTTGCTGCTTGCTGCCCTCTGCCTATCATAAACTGTTTTTCCTTTGTGATGCCCTCTGCCATGTACCACCCTGCCTTGGAGCCAGCAGACAATGAACTGAAACCCCTACAAACTGAACCAAATAAACCTTTCCTCTTTTAACTTTGGGTGTTGGGTATTTTGTCTCAGCAGCAAGAAAAGTAACTAAGACAACGTGTTTCCATTACTTTCTAGCTATAAGGTCCACGAGAGCACTTTGTTTTTTGCTTTGGTTTTTTTCTACTGAGATGAAATTCATGTAACAGACTTCTCCAAAAATACCTACATGAATATTAATAGAACCATGGTTCTATTAATATTCATGTAGGTATTTTTGGAGAAGTCTGTTTTCAATTATTCTGGGTATATTTAGGATGAGAAGTGCTGGGTCATATGATAACCCTAAAAAGGGTGATTAAAAATATGGTGAATATTAAGTGAAAACACATTGATCACACATATCTCATTGTTCTTGCTACTTTCTGAAGCAGTTCTAGAAGTCTTTTCTCATGAGTCTCTTAATGAAGTGTAATCAAAAACAGTGAACGCTGCTAAGTGTGATCCAACGGAAAGACAAACTTATAAAAACATTGTGGTGTTCCTGATCCACTTTATTCACAGGATCTGGCACTGTGTGCCATCTGGCTCTCCCCCAAAGTAAAGGTGATCATGAAAGGTAAACATTTTGAATCGATGCAGGGCATCAGAGCAGCCATGAGAGCCATGTGAGTGGCACTGAAGATGCTAAAGTAAAAGGGGTCCTGAACTGCTGAGAAAGTTGGGAGGATGATGGGTGTGCAAAGTGAGGGGAGGACTTTGAGGGGAGCTACTGACAATGTGCTTTTACTGTAATACATTTTCAAAATTTAAACATACACTGTATTTTCTGATCATGTCCCATATGTTTACCTTTTTGAGGAACTGTCAAACTTGTTGACAGCAGTTGCACCATTTCACATTACCAGTAAAGCAGATTTACTGGTTCAGATTTCTTTTTATCCTAAGATTTATTTTATATTTTTGTTATTTTACTTATAGCCATCTCACTGGTATGAAGTGGTATCTCACTGTGACTTTGATTTGCATTTCCCTAATGACTAATGATGCTGAATATCTCTTCATGTGATTTTTGGCTGTTTGTATCTCTTTTAGAGAAATAGCTACTTAAAATCTTTGCCTGTGCAAAATACTGAGTTGTGTATCTTTTTGTTGTTGAGTTCTTTATATATTTGTTACACCCGATCTTTATTAGATCAGTGATTTGCAATGTGTTTTCCCCATTGTGTGGGTTGTCTTCTCACGTTCTTGTCAGTATCCTTTCATAAACAAGGTTTTAATTTTGCAGTCCAATTTATCTTTTTTCTTTGTCTTCCTGTGTTTACTATGCCTATTTTGCCATATATTTATTGAATATTAAATGAATGAATGTGACTTTGGGCAAGTTATTGATCCTTTGTGAGCTACAATTTCCTGAAATGCTATGAATTTTAAATGAGAAAATACATGTAAATATCTTTGGCATGTATATACCCTGATCTATAAAAGAAGCTCTCAGTATTTGCTCTTATTATTGCATGTAAGAGGAGGGATAATAACATAATGTTTGGAAATGCTGTTGACTCTAAAGATCATAATGATAATCTAGCAGGAAGATAATACATTTGTTTTGAGAGCAGCATGTTACCGACAGTGTTCATGTTTGAAAGTGAGGACTAATTAGTGTGGGTGAGCTGAAATACATAAGAAAGTAAAACATTTTCTGCTTGCCATATTCTTTCACTGCAGTAACTGCATCCATACTGCATTGTTATTATAAAGTACTATACAAGGTAAATTCACTGTTAAGAACCAGCTAACTTTATACTGAAAATACCTGGACCTGGAAATAACACTTAGTACAAGAAATCTTTTAAACAAAAATCTGAGTACAGAATGCTTTACAAATCCTCAATACGTCTACAATCATGTCTTGGTACTTGGCTAGTTTCAAACACCTAGAATTTGGTACTTGACACATTTTGATGGGAGAATTGTTTCCTGGTTCTTGTTATTGGTATGTGACTTTGCTGGTGCTGACTGCCAGGTGACTCACTACCACTTCAAGACAAAACAAATTGTTTGGTGTTTGTTGTTTTGGTACTCATTGTACCTCGTGGAACCAATTAATGACAAGTGCTGAGGTACCACTGTATTGCCAAGTTTTGAGGGACTGAACGAAGTGAGAAAGAATAAAGATCCTCCTTGCAACAAAACCTGCCTGGCATCCCGCTGATATGGAGTTCCTGGACCCAACCATGGGCCAGCTTAGAGCCAAGTTCCACTTTAACCCAGTTCTGCCTCTTGGCTTCTTAGTACCTCTGCTCACAAGGAGGTTTTGTCCTATGCAGAGAGATTCTGATCTCTCTCTGCCCTAGGGGAGACACTTCTGGCAGAATCCGGTGGCCAAAGCCCAGCCATCCTCCATGGCCAACCCCAAGTATCACCTCCTGCAGGATGTAGCACCCTCGGCCTCAGCACCCTGGCCAGGAGCCTCACCTTCTCTTGATGCCCCTGGTATCAGTCCCTGTGTAACACCATTATGACTGCTGGTGTCCACAACCTACTTCTTGGGCCAGACAATTAACTCCTGAGAGGAGAAGCCTTGTTTGATCCCTACCCAGAACCTAGTAGAGTATCTGGCCTTGGTAGGAGATGAACAGATATTTGTGGGGAGGGAAAAGGCAAAGAATAAAAGATTAAAGGCAGAATGCATTATCTACATAAGCTAGTGTTATTCTTTTCACATTTACTAACAAAGCTCAGCAGCTAAACTATGCGTAGTTTAAAAAGCATCTCATATTCTAGAAAACTAACGGTTGTGTAGCCAAAACGCTCCTCTACAGACTTAGAAAATTTTAGTATGCAAGCAATTTCTAAAATTAGGTAAAATCAGATTTGCTCTCAAAGTGTTATAATCCAGAAGACTGAGCAATTCACTCACTTTGGCAGAAGTTTCAGAGCATTAAAACATTTATAAGAAAACTGAGGTAGAGGAAAGGTGAAAAACATTCCACCCAGAACTAAACTTGGGGACCAACACAATACACTTCCAAGTTTCATAACTCCACATGTTAGTCCAGGTCTTCAGTAGGCAAACTTCCTTCTATAAACATGGGGAATGTTTCCCCTCTAACATATTCTTTTTTATTTCTGAAGCAGATTTGCACAAGATAGAATTCACTTTGGAAACAGGAAAAAATTTTAACAAATCAAATTTCTGTAAATAATAATTTGGTCATCAAAAAGATTTCCTAAAGACAAATATCCTGACAGTAAAATACATGAATGTTTTTAATGCCATTTGGAATCATTATAACCACAGTAATGTTGCAGACCCTGGGCTTAACACTCTATGTGCATTACCCTGGTTTACTTTCACGTCCTCATAAAAACCTCCAGGTAGGTACTACGGACCTTAATTCAACTCGACAGGTTAGGGAACTGAGGTTCAACAAAGGACCTGATAGAGGTCACATGGCTAACCGTAAGCAGAGTCAGAATTTGAGCTTACCTATCAACTGACTTAAGCCTTGCACTTTCACCACGATGTTAATGCTGACCTCCCTGAATATTTCACTTGTATACAAAGATCTTCCTAGATACATTATTGAAAAGGAGCAAAAGAGATCTAAGAGAATTAAGTATTTAACTTTTTAAAAAGTAATGTAGCCCAAATGAGCTTTACATTATTCTACGTATAAATATGAGTGGCTATCTGGACCACTTTAGAAGGGTCCTTGCACTATTTTCTCTATACTTTCCACCAACTAATAAGACTTCAGTAGTAAGTGGCATAAAAGTTAATCCAATGAAAAGGCTGTAAATAAGCAGATGTGGTACTATAGAAGCATGAACAAAATAAAAAGGTAGCTCAGCAATGTAAGTCAATAAAAATGGTGCCAGTGTAGAACAATGGCTATTTCTCAAAATATCACACGTTCTCTTAGAAGTCCCTGTATAAATGCAAAGTGTCTTCAATGCCCAAAGTCTTTCATTTAAGTAAAATGATGAAGGAAAACAAAAACCAAAGCCCCAAACAGCTCCAGGTGGGAATGTATGCATAAACCATCGGACAGATGAAATACCAAGTGAGGGAGGAAGGGGAGTGGGAAGGGTCACCAGGAAGGCCTCCTTAGTGACAGCCTCCTCAAGCTCCTGTTATGTGAGCTCCAAAAGCTGTCAAGATTAGCATTTCAAGAGAGACAGCATTTTCAAGTAATCAGACAGTTGGCCTATTTTGAGCTACTGACCTATATAAAACACTGATTATGGAAGACATTGTAATTCCTTTTAGCTATGGAAAGTCATCACATTACTACATAATGAAGAAAGGAAATAGCATCGAGAAGACCAATGAAGCAAAGGAGCCTTCCTTGGGCTAATAATGATCGCAACATTCTACTCACTTGCACTGTGCGTGATAATACTTTATAAGATTCTGCAGCAGGTCCACACCCTTTTTGGTCTTGATTTCATTAACTTTAATTAGATACTGTGAAAATAAAACAGAATTTCATGTTGATCATTCCAGAAAGGGCACTTAAGTCCTGGGTTTAGGCGGCAGAACACCAGTCATGAACTTGTACAAGTAAGTGAGCCTTGGTGGCCTTTAGACAAGTGAGCTTAATTTAGGGAATGGTGAAGTGGCACAGTCACAGAGCACACAGAACAAGTGGATTAGCACGTTAGAATTTTATAAAGTTTTACAATTAGTTCATTAGAGTAGCAGAAATAAAACAGCAAAACTTTCTAGGACAGCTACTTATTTCTCTTTTGTACACAGAGGATCTCAAACTTATAGGTTGTATGGTCTTGAGAGATCGATTTTTCTTTGTGGAAAACAACTAGAATAGCATTTTCTTCAAAAAATGTGCCAAAAGATATTGAAATTTTCAAATTAAGGAAGTGAATGAGAAATAATTTTTGCCATTATTAATTCATTCAGCTAAATAGTACCGGTTCTGATTTTCATTATTGACCAAAATGTTCTACTAATACTGTTTGCTTCTTGCTCACTTGTTTTATTACATAAAAGCATTCAAGCAGCCAAAAGTTTATGAGAAAGGAGAAGAAAAAAATTCAGAAGAGAAGCTTAAAACTGAGAAAACTCTCTATTTTAACATTTTTTGAAAGCTGCAGAAGCATCTCCGCTATGTAAAAGCGCCAGGAGTTAGAAGAGGTCTCTAGGTCAAAAAGCTCTAGTGTTCAGGGAAAACTTAGTTTGAGAACCACTGGTCTAAATTTTAGGAAACATGCATTTCATTTTTTTTTTTTTATGAACAAAAAATGTTCTCAACGACTTTCATTTAAACTTACATTCAAAATGGACTCACTGTTAAAAAAATCAAAACAAATCATGCGCTAAACTTGCAACATTTGCCAGGGTTATCATTCATCAAAAATTTCCCCCACAATCACTCACAAGCAACAGTAAGGTTCTCACCAAAGAATCCTGTTTTGGCTTAAAGGGCCCCATAGGCCCAAGGGTCAAAATATGAGACAACAGTGCAATGGTGGTTCCCAAAAGCTTGGAGAAAAATGGAGATTAGAATCCTTAGCAAACAGTCCCCTTGTCTAATAATCAAATTCAGCCTTCCTTTTAACATAAAGCCTCCTGATAGGCAGGAGAGTATAGCCAGTAAAATTCTAATCCAATGAGGGAAAATTCTTTTCTTACTTCACACATTTGGAGCTGAAAGAGGCGCCTTTCCTTCTCCATTTCTTCTGCGATCTCAGCTCCAGTTATCTCTGTGCGGATCATCCCGTGCTGTTTTGCATGCTCTCTTTTCTCCTTCTCAATTTTTGTACTGTAAGTAAAGCAGATGTCATTATTTTTTCAGAAACACATTCAATGTACAACATCAGGTGCGAACCTTAATGCAAACCATGGACTCTGAGTGAGAATGGTCTACCCATGCAGGCTCATCTACTATATGAAATGCACCACCCTGGTGGGGGTGAGTCACAATGGGGGACACTGGGTACGAGAACATATGAGAACTGTATCTTCTGCTGAAAAAGAAAGTCTTTTGGGCAAGGGACATAGCTCACTGCTGTAGCACTTGCCTAGCATACCCAAGGCCCTGGTTTCAATTCCTTTAGAGAAAGCCAATGGTTATTTCTTCATTACTGAAGTAAAGAGGTAAGAGTTCTTAAATTGACAGGATCATCTTTAGTAAAAATCTAGGTTCCAAGGGAACAAACACACTGCTTGGATTTTCATGTAGAAAACTGTTTACATTTTAACTTTGATCCTGCACATGATGAATCCATACAACTTGCCTTACATTCTGGGTGGCAAGAGGAAACTTTGGCAGCTTATCATTTCTTGGGTAAAGCCCTTCAGGGTGAAAAGGGAGCAGAAAGTTGGAGACCTGATGCTTGTCTTGATTATTAGTAGGTTATATAATTGGAATTATTTCAAGACAAAGTATATAATGACTCCTGTAGATGTGCATAAAAAGTAGTCAAAGAAATTTCCGAAAGTCTCTAAACTTGGGCTATTTTCACACTTAATCATTTGTCATTGGACTGATTGGGAGAAATCCCAATGTATAATCTGAGATCCTATGAAATGTTCTTTAGTGAGGAGGGCAGGGTCAAGGGGGAGCCAGAGGAAAAAACAGGAAGGTTCACATTAAATCTACGGTACCGGAGGCTAGTGCTTGGCTCCGATAGATGATATTCTAGTAATCATATCAATGATCAGAGCCCTTTTTCCAAAAATTCATTTAATTTGAAGACAGGTTCTAATTTCAGAAACTGCCTTTACTTTCCAATTGTGAACGCAAGGACTCACTGACTTAACCTTCAAAGCTGTGGATGCAGCAGTGCAGACAACCAAAAACCTCAGAAAGCCAGCATCCTTGTCTGTGTGCACAAAGAAAATCAACGCATTAGCCAGTGGAAAACTCTACTGCAAACCTGGCTAGAATCTATTCTCCTTTACTGATGCTATATCTAAGCAACTCTGATCATGCCAGGCTGGAAATTAAAGTGGTGCGATGGCAGGAATTTTAGGAGAGAGAATAAATACCAGCTTGTGCCTGGGAAGAGAAGAGGAAAGCGGCAGAAGCTTGAGAAGAAATATGGGGAGCAGGCATGACTTACAGCCTTGGGTCTACTGTGGGGACTCAGCTGCATATAAACGTGTTTATTTTCCCCTCTATCAGTTCCACTAAAATGACAGTAACGGCAAAAAAAAAAAAAAAAATGGTAAAACCTCTTGGACCAACTGATGACAGAAAAGGAGGAGAAAAATCAACAAACATTTGGAAGAGAAGGGCTGAAGAGTAAATCTGTGCCTCACTACGGGGCACTCATGCTGTCCTGGCCCACAGCTCCCAGGATGTCACCATACAATCACTAGGCAGGAGACTGGGGATAGGAAAGTCCTGAAGACAGACTTAGACACTGACACTGGGAAGCTCCTAGCAAGAGCTGCCTTGGCATCCAACATTTGATGGCCCAAAGGACGACTCACTACTTTCTGGACAATTCTGCTGATGCCCTTGAGATTATCAGCCAGGCCTTGGGTGACTTGTTCTGCAATATGAACGAGGAGCCAAGCACTGTAAAATAACTGAGGACAGTCTCTAAAGTGAAAGTGAAAATGAGCAAAATAACCAGGGGAGGAGGAGAAGGAATTATAGGTCACAACAAAGCAGAAAATTTTACAAACTGTCAGCTAAAAAATAAAACAAAAAACTCTCCAAAATTTGGTTGAACCAATGAGCTTTTAGAAATATAGCACAGACAAATAGAACAGAACAGAGTATCAAAATACAAGAACAATTCAGGAAGTCCAACACTATATGATGAGGAGTTCTGGGAAGGAAGGTGAGGAAGAAAGAGAAAAGAGAAAACATTTATAGAAGTGAAAACTGTAGTGAAGAGTTGGAGAAAGAAAGGGACCTGCAGGACCGGGGCAGTGGCCAGGCAGCTACAGCATACTCATCAGAAACACACTTGCTGCCTACTTACCACCCTCCCTTCTCATTTGAGAAAGGCCCTGTGCCCTTAGGGGTGGCGCAAGCTCACCGGGCTTAGCTTCCGAGGACAATGGTGACAAGTGGGGGTGCCACGTGGGCCCCTGGTCCATCTGCTCTACAGTAAACCTCTACAGTGCTGAAACCACTGTTACTTGGGTTTTCTAGGGAACACTGCCAGTGTAAAGCCTCACTGATACAATACTATGTGTCTGATGCTCTATTTTATGCATGTACATTATTTTTAACCAAGTAAAGGCTGATAATTAAAAAACTTAATAGAAACTATTTGAGTGACAACCATATTGACACCTGCTTTCATACATTATTTTGATCTCACAGAAACCTTGAGAAGTAGGTAAATTTCATATTATTTTACAAGTGAAATCAGGCATGGTGGCACATGCCTGTAATCCCAGCACTTGGCAGAAGAAATCGCCATGAGTTCAAGGCCAGTCTTGGCTACATAATGAGTTCAAGGCCAGCCTGGAACAGAGAGACTCTGTCTCAAAAACACACACACACCAGGTAAGGATCATCAACATAAAAAATTATCTTGGCTCGCAGTCATAAAACTGGTAATGATTCTAAAGTATATGAAGTCAACTATTTCATTTCACTGTCTCCTGAGTTCTAAATAGAAGGTCATAGAAAATGTCCAGCCCACTTAGTTATTTCAAAGGTAATTAACTTTTTTTGTATGTAATTCATTTTTTTCCATGACTTGTAACCAAATGAGTCTTACTATATTAAACAAACAAATGTTTTCTTTTTTTCCTGCACCACAATGCTTAGTAAGAAAGAAATCTATTTTAGGAAAAATAATTTGTTGACAGGAATTTATTAAAAAATAAAGGCAAAACTTTCATCTGTAAGGCCCGAGCCAGGGACTCACTCAGCTGACCATTTCTGAGCACCGCGTGAGCACTCATGGCCCACAGCCTTGGGGACACCTCGGTTCTCAGCGGCGTTCATAATGTCCATACACAAAAGCATCCCTAAGACAGCAAGTCCCCAACAGGACACTTATTACATAAGTGGGGAAAACATGCTCAATCCCGAATTTCTTCATTTGAATGACATTGATTTCATTCTGCTGCTATAGTTGCTGACAGAAATATTTTATCTTCTTATGGTAATAGTTATGAGATTAAAGCTTTAAAACACAGGTTTTTTCCCATCCTACCCTATTGCTGTTGGTACAAATCTGTCATAGTAGTAATAATAAAGGAATATGGCATGACGGACACAGCAGGAAGAGCCAGGCCAGACACAGGGCTTATCCCCCTACCCCAGACTGTCTGGCCTGCTGGGGTCTGACCCCAAGGCTCCCATGCTCAGGCTCAAGGCAGGCAGACCTGTAGTGAATGCCAGGCAGACAGACAGCTCCTGTTTCTGTGACCTTCCAAAGCCCGCTAGCCTCTCTTGGCTTCAGTCTCTGATGTACAAACAGAGGATGAAAGCTGCACTCTGGTAGGGTGCTGTTCAGGGGTTCTTCATGTAAAAACACACCGCAGGCCCTGGCAGGCAGAGGGTATCCTATCATAGACATTAGCTATTACTTTCATTATTTCCCAAATGTTATACTACACAGAAATGAAAACAGTCCACAGTTACATGCTAGCTATGATGAAAGAACAATTCTAACAGTCACGGCCTATAACTTGACAGTTAATACCAGCAGACATAAATGTCAAAATAATTGATGGTAAAATCGACTAGCATTAATTAACTAGCATTAATCACTCTTAACTAGGTTAGAGTACCCAATCTCTTCTCTTTACAAGGACATACTAAATGGTTTTTTGTTAAGAAGCTATTAAGTAAGGGCTCTGTCCTTTGCCCAGTTACTTTTTCTTATGAAACTCATAACAATAAAACAAACAAACACACAACTCCCCCCAAAAAACCCCAAACCACTACTTACAACTTTGTCTCATAATCTTTCCAGGCTTTGTCAAATGGCTTCTTGAGATCCTTAGAAAAGAGAAAATTTAATACCATAAGTTCACTTAAAATGAATATACTGAAATAATACCTTAGCAAAAATGACTTCTTTTATAGGACATATCCAACTTTACGGCAGGTGCTCTGCGCACACTGACACTGTACCACTCACTGAGGAGAAGCCTGCTTGCTGCTACACTGACAAAGAGCCTGTCCAGGTGGTCACACTGGGGAGCTGGTCTCAGTGCAGGTTCTCTCTCCCCCGTGACACCTCTCAGCAATCTTCCTGCAGTTCCTAATCTTGCTCCTCTGCCAGTACCATTATGCGAGGCAGCATATCTTTTCCAATGATCATTGTCCAAGAATATTTTTTTAATGCAAAAAATGCTCAGAGCACCTTTCAAACACAAATACTACTATGATCTTAAAAGGAAAAGGAAGCTGCTCCTTTCAAGTTAATATGGAAGTTTCTGAACACTTACTCCTTTGACTCCCTTTAGGTCTCCTTTTAACAGGGAATCCAAGGTGAAGATTACGTTGTGGCTCAGACTCTGGAGCTGAAAAATCAAAACAGAGGAAAGATGGGAGATGACAGTTCAAAAGAAACCACACAAAACCACACACCGGACTTCTACTGACTGAGCATCAACTGCCCACGTAAGGCTCCACAGACAAGTTGCTCCTCACCAGACTCGCACCACACCCTCCAGGCAGGTGCAGGGCTGTCCCCACACTGGGCCGAGGCGGGAAACCAGAGTGGGCAGAACTGTGGTGGCTTCAGAGCCTGTCCTGAGACACGTCACTATGGGAGGCGTGTCAATGATTTCAGCACAGTCATCCTCCCTTCTACCGATACTGTCGATACTAATTTGACTTTTCCTCAGATGTGGCTGTCAGAGTAAGGAGAGAACTACATAATAGGCTTGCGGCACATATCAGCATCTTAAATCACCCTGTTTGTCTTGTCTCCTGCATGGGAACAGAAGCTCAACGAAGGCAGGGACCTTGACAGCTCTGCTCTCAGCTGCAGCCGCAGTGCCAGACTCCATGATACACACAAGATCTTTAAAACCAGGGAATAGACTTCTCATTGTTCTGAGGCAATGGCCTGGGGCTCCCAGACTTTAACATATATAAAGAGTTCACAAAGGAGAAGGAAGGAGTTCACAGAGAGCACAGTGGCAGAGGAATGGGCCACGGTGGGGAGGTCAGGTGTGAAAAGAACAAGCAACATAAGGACTGAGCAGAACTCAGAATATGGTCCATCCTCAAGGAGAACCCTGAGATCAGTGTTGATGGCACTGCATTGTGGGTCTCCTTACTCCAAAGTGTGTTCATCTGTCAGACTGTCTACGCGCTGTCCATCATTCCCTGAACGTGCTCCAAGCCGAATGCTGTTAGGACTGGTCAGCCAGTGATGAGCAGGACACTTCTTGCCCTCAGCAGCCTTACGCTCCAGGACAGGCAGTGGGTATGTAGCCCCTGCTACCACACATGCTATGACTCTCCAGGAGCACTCACAGCAGGACCAGTGCTGATCACACTTGTAACCACACCCGTAGTGGGATAATATACCCTACTGGGAGTAGCTGTTGTGAAGATGGAATAAGTTCATGTACATGAACAGTGTTAATTTACTCTGACATCCAGGAAGTGCTGAACGCATGCTTATCTTTATAACACAGCGGATGCTAAATATGAATAAGGCAGTGTGGGGGCACAGAAGGCCAGGAAACAGGAAGGCCTCCCCTTGGCTCTGACTTCTCCCTAATGCTTTCCTGGTTTTATCGCTCTGTGCTTCCTGCACTTTGTAAGTCATTCTACCTCCCCAGCTCCAACTGTTGTCATATACAAGGCAGGTTTTCCAATGCATAACACCAGAGGGCGCCGGTCAGAAATACCCACTCATTTTCCTCTGAGCTTTCTCTTTCCAAAGAGACTTCTACCAAGACAATTCCGTCCATGTGATTTTGCCACCATCCGTACAGAGGAACAGCTTTGGCTGGCGGGCCAGAGGGCTACAGGGTGAGCAGATATTTTATAGGGTCTAAGACATTGGTTTTGGGGAAGGGGGGCAAAAAGTCACTTAGATTTTATAATCGCTTGTGACCCTCCAAATAGCCAGATATAAAAAATTATATAGACTTGTATTAATTAAAATTTGATGAGGGAAGCAACGAGAGGAGAAAATGGCCAAAAAAGGCTAGTGGGGAGAGAAGGAAGACCGTAGGTAATAATGGGGGGGGGGGATACTGCCATTGAGCACACGAGGGAAGTAATAAAGATTAACAGGACCCACACTCTGCTGCAGATGGACAGCAGGAGTAAGGTTTTGCTCTTGAGTTTTTAGTTTCACTCCTGGGCGACCAGCCTGCAGCACTCCCTATCTGGTGCATCTCAGGGGCTGGTACCACTGGCTGGCAAGGGAGGCTCGAGCCCCACTATCCATCTATCTGTCCTCCATTCACGAAGATCTTCACCTTATTTCTCTTCAAGGCACTTATTATCCCTAATAATGTATGTATATGGTTGCTGCCTCATTCATTTGCTGTCTGTCTTCCTGGCTCTCAGGCAAGACCTCTGAGAGCAAGTGTGCATGTCCACTGTTGGTTCCGGGAACTTACCAGAGCTTAGAACATGGCTGGGGGAGAGAGGCTGCCCAAGGACTTGTAGAGGAATAAAATACAGCACTATGAGGCATGAGAGTCTTCTACACAGAGCTGTTTCTACTGATGGAAACTGAAGTGCCTGTCAATAGGTGCTAGCTAAATAAATTATGGAATTCCTAAACAACCACCACAAAACGAGAAAGCGCTTTATGCCTTACTTTAGAAATATCTCCAAGTATATTTTTATGTGATAAAGCATGGTGTAAAACAATACTTTCAATGCATATGGATTTATGTAAAAGAGGTGGGTGTCTATGCTTAAATAATTTCTGAACAAATATACAACTGGTGATACCAGTTACCTCTAGGGATGGAAACCAGGCAAAGAGACAGGGTGAGAAAGGAGGCTGTGTGCATTAAAAAAAGGTTACTATGTAATTTACTGTTTATTCAAAAAAAGTCAAAATTTAAAACAAAATATTAAAAGACAATGATTATAAATGCTTTTAAACTTTTAGTCTGAAACTATGGTTTTCATCAGTACCTCAAATCCTTTGTGAAATGAAGCAAGAGAAAAACATGTTACTGTTACCTTGGATCTGAAGGCTGTTCTACAAAACAAGGAAGGAATTAGCAAATCTAGTCAATGCTGAATGTGAAAGTTGTTCTGAAGGAAAAGTCCCTCTGAAGAGTGTTCTGACCACACACAGTAACCTTTAATGTCACCGTCTGGCGAGGCTGCACTGACAGAAAACCCCAACAATTACGAACCTCCTTGTGGTTATCTATGCACATATTCTTGGGGGCCAGTAAGAAATTAGGAAGTCAAGACAGTTAGGTATCAGAAATTCAGAATTTCCTCCAGTGCTTACTTATGAGAAGGACACAGGAAAAAAACTGGATGCTTACAAACTCTTTCCAACTTCTCCGGATAAGAAGTTAATTTAAAAAACTGGTAAAGGGGGTTATTTTAAACAAGTGACTAGTAACTATTATAAAGTGCCATTATAAAGATACAGACAAAGGCTGAAGAGAAGCAGATCAATCTTAAGAGAAGGAAACCTTTAGGAAATGTTCACTGAGGTACAAAACAAACTTTCCTTTTCTGGAAATCTCAGTGCAGAGAAAAATATGTTCTCTCAAATATTTTAGGGTATTATACTGTCATAGAGGTTAGCTTTTATTACTTTATAGTTACAGGATTCTGTAATTTTCCTTTGTTTTTATTTTCTAGTTCTTTCAGGAACCCCACAAAAGTCATCTCTGTAGGCAAATACAATACAGTTAGTAAGACACAGTAACAATATAAGTGGACAAACTTCCCACTATCATCTTCACCAGCACCAATGATTTCTTCAAAAAGCCTTCCAAATTTCCCACTCATTTTATGAAAATTCTATTGCTCATTCCTATTTATTGAGCTTCCAGACCACTTCCTTTCCTGTAACAATAAAATGGAATACAAAGTCTTTACGTGATTCAAGTCTGCAAAAAGTTGAAGAGTATGATTTCAAAAATCTTTTTCATTTTATTGAGCAAACAACACACTAAAAAGCCATTTCAGCCTGGTGTGGTGGTGCACACCTGTCATTCCAGCACTCGGGAGGCTAAGGCATGGGATCACTGCTAGTTTGAGCCTGGGCTATACAGTGAGTTCAAGACCAGCCTGCACTAATAGTGAGACCTTGTCTCAAAAAGCTAAAAGAAGAAAAACAAAGTGATTTCAGGGGTCTGGGCACGTAGCTTAGTGGTGACAGAGCATTTGCCACAAGGCCCTGGCTTCAATCCCCAGTGCCATTAAAAAAAAAGAATTCAGAAATGATGCTTAGGTAATGGTACATATATTTGCTTTCCAAATAAATTGCTGTTTAAATTTGGTTTTCCTTATAACAGGGATTTTTCCTCTGTCTGGACACACATCAAGCCCAACCAGAACTTCGGAATGATTCAGACGGGGAGGATGAGGTCTATCTTTTCATTATGCAGAAAGGACCTGCTTCAGCAAAATACCTGTAATACTGGCTTTGATAAAAATAACCATTTCAACTGGGCGCAGTGAGGCAGGCGGATGGCTGCAAGTTCGAGGCCAGCCTGGACTACACGGTGAGCGCAAGGCCAGGTTGTGCTACAGAGTGAGAGTCTGTTTCAAAACCCGGTTTGTTCCTCACCTGTTTCAATGTTGACAGGCATTATATAAACAGTCCCCATGGCCCCAGCTGCTGGAGATGACTCATGAACAGTTTTTCCTCTATTACATATGCACATACACGGCTCGATTTCCCCCCTTTTAACAGCTTTACCACAAAAAGAAAGGACCTTGGTACTTCCCAAAGCACCGTCTCTCTCACCAGCAGGCACCCTTCTGTGCTCACTGCTGGGGCGGATCCGCACCAGGGCCTGGGCTCGGGCTCCAGCTCCAGCTTGCAGGCTGCTGCCCTGGGCCTGCCTGTGTGGCTGTGCTGCCAGCCACAGAAAGGTGACGGATGAGTCAGCAGGGCCGCCTCCTCTTGCCTCTCAGTGGAGGACAGAGCAGCACAGCTCTACAAATGGGGCCTCCACGATGTCCACATGCACGCAGACTGCAGTAACTAATGAGGACGCAATCTGCTCGCTTTGTCACCTTGCGCCAGTTCTGACAGTCTCTCTCCACTGCCCGCTGGTTCTCTCTTGCCCCTCTGCAGACAGAAAGTTTCTTACAAAGTGAAGCTAATGCAAATCTGCTGACTTGCTCAACACATTGGAAAATCCAATTAAAATAATCAGCCAGCTCTCAGCATTCCCTGGCATAAATTAGGTACTCTTCCACTACAGTGTTAACTCCTTCGTGCCTCAGACCAGTTGACAGCAAACCTTTTAGAAACCAAGTGCCCAAACTGTAACTCCAGACCCACTTATTTATTCCAAAGTGCCAACACTGCAATTAAATCTGAATACTGAAGTTTTAGTTTAGAAAAAACAACTTCTTTACTGTGTTAGAAAAAACAATTCTTTTTAGTTTAGAAAAAACAACAATGCTCAGCTGCTGGAGCAAGTTGGCTCCTATGCCAACAGAGAGGGCAGCACATGGACCGTAGGTTTGCCACCACTGACCCAGACAATTATCGACTGCCCTGAAGGCATCTGAGCTGGTGCCCTGTCAGTAGGCCACTTTCCTGGAGGAAAGAAGCCCGGAGACACCTGCCCACTCGTCACTGTCAGTGTGGGCAGCTGGGCAAACTGGCTGACACTGCTGGTGTCCCAGCACCTTCCTAACTGGCTCATGCACATGGACACCCTGGGCTCCACTTCATTCCCATCTGCTTTACTCAGATTCTTGCCTTCCACACCGTGGCCTTTCCTGTAATGCCAAAGCTGAATAGACACAAGCTCTTTCTATGAGACCCCACTGTCTCACAAGCTGCTCCTGGTAACCCTACCAGGCACAGGTAAGTAACTCATCCAGACACACACGGCTGGTTAAGTGGAAGGATCAAGTCACAAACCAGGTACCCAATCCGAAAAATCTGAAATGAACAGACATTTCTCAGACAAAGAAGTAGAAATAGCAAATAAATACATGAAAAAATGTTCAACATCACTGGTCATTCGAGAGATGCAAATGACAACAACACTGAGATTCCACCTCACCCCAGAAAGAATGGCTGCTATGAAGAAATCAACCCAATAACAAATCCTGGCAGGGCTGTGGGGAAAGAGGAACCCTGCTCCACTGCTGGTGGGAGTGTAGACTGGTGCAACCGCTCTGGGAATCAGTACGGAGAAACCTCAAAGAACTAGGCCTGGAAGTCTCATTTGACCTCGCTATTCCACTGCTGGGGATCTTCCCAAAAGAATAAAAAGAATCATACCACAGTGATATATGTGCACCCATGTTCATAGCAGCACAGTTTGTAATAGCTAAAACTTGGAAGCAGCCCAAATGCCTATGAACTGGAGACTGGATAAAATGGAGTACTACTCAGTCATAAAAAATGAGAAATTTAAGAGACATTTATAGCTAAATGGATACACACTGAGGCGATACTCTTAAGTGAAATAAATAGGACACACATGTGTAAATACTGAATAGTTTCTCTGGTGTGAGAGACTGAAAGTGTAAATAAGGATCAAAAGGTATAATAATGTGAAATAAGAAGAAAAGGAGCGAAGGGGAAGGAAGTGGGAGGGCTAGGGGAAACGAAAGAAGGGAATGGAATTAATATGAGAAAATGAAAAAATGGAAACAAAATCTTTGTAAATAGGGAGGGATGGAGGGGTTGGAGGGCAGGGGAATGGGGAAAAAATAAGAACCAAGAGAGATTATGTAAAGGTACAAATTTCCAATGATGAACGTCATATTATATTGTATACCTAAAATGTACCAATAAAATTAATTTAAAGAAAAAACCAGGTACAGCTCTAGTTGGAAGTATTTACAACACTACCTTCCTACAGATACAGTGTCAGAATGTTTTCAAATGAAAACATGCCATATTCATGTGATGGACAGTTACCATCTGCCACTACCAACCTATTACATTAAGACTTGCTTCATTTGGCTGCACAGGCACCAGGGTAAACGGCGGACATCTGTGCATCCACAGGGTGAGTACACTTCCACATCCAAGAGTTAATGCTACCACTTTGCTGCTCAGGGATTTGTAAGAGTTGACCTCAGAGGACCGAGTCCCCAGTGTGCACACGGTCACACTTAGGGTGTGCCTGTGTGACTCCCTCACCCGTTAGACATCCGGTCTCCTCACCTGTGAGGTGCAATGATAAAACTAGTTCCATATGCTAGTGAGGGGATGAATGGAAACAGTCAGCAGACACAAATGTATGCACAATACCCGACACAAGACGGACTTGGAAAGTGTTCTTGAGCATTTGATTTGAACAATCAATGAATTCTTTACACCTGAAATCTAGGCAGTATTGGTGGAAAAACTGTAATCACAGCATCTTAGGTATTTTCAAAGCTCCAAAATGCCCTTTATATGTTATTATACCATGCTTTCTCCATTGCTAAGTCTCATAGTTCTTGTTTCCCTGCTTCATTCTGGAAGGCGGTCTCTATAAAATGTAGGATAATGCACCCCGTTATTCAGAGTTTCATCTTGCAGGGCGGCCTGAATCTGACTGTTTATTGAAACAACAGAGGGCACTGTGCTTAATGTTACCTAAAGCTACTGCTCACAACTGACTCTATAAAATGGGTCTTTGTCTCGCGAGATCAATGAGGAAACATGTTCAGAGAAGTTAAGTAGCATGCCGAGGTCAAACACTGAGTAAAACAGAGGACAAGATTATTGACAGTTTTTTTGTTTTTTAATTCCAAAGGCCAACGTCATTTCCTCTTTATTCTGCTATGATCTTTTAGAGTGATTATCAGATCTCATCACCCCTGCTTAAAACTCATCACTGCTTCTTGCTGAATTGAACTGAAGTCTAAACTCCCAGCTTAGGTCTGGCCCTGTCCTCCTGTCCACTGCAACGCAATTCTTTCTGCTTCTTGACCCACTGAGCTCTCTCCATCTTCGCACACCCTTTGCCGCCTTTCTGGAACAGGCTAACGGCAAGGAGCCCCTGCCTCCAGGGGATTTCCTCCCTGAGGTCTGGACCATCTGAAAGGTTTCTTCTCCATCCCTCACCAGCCCCTCAAGTGGCAGAGCAGCTTACTTAAGAGTCCCTTGCTTACAATTTCTTGTCTGTTCCTTGACTGACTAGAGCCAAGTTCCGAGCGGGCATGGGCTAGGTTTGCTGGGCTCAGCCCTGTGCCATCTCAGACTCCTGGCACACTGTGCAGACATGCCACAGATATGAGATAAAAGCCTCAAGGACGAAGTCAGGGAAGGAATGAATTTTTCAAAGGAGGACAGCAGTTCTGAGACCTCAGGTGTTACAGAATCTGGACGGTTCTGGTCTCCCTGGAGTGCCCAGCACAAGGTCTGGACCACTCCTAGGATATGGCTGGGGGTGACGGGCCAAGGAAGCCTCCACCCCAAAGCTGTCAGGCTTTGTCTGACACCTGAGGAAGAGGGGGGAGCTTGGGAGGCCTGTTCTAGACTGCAAGTTCAGGTGGCCTCCTTAATCTCTGCCCCTTAATTTGACCAGTGCAAGAGATCAAGTCCAGCTGCTGGGGGCCTGAGCCATAGGCAGTCTTCACCATTTCCTAATTGACTCTCAAACATCAGTAAAGGAAGGGGAAATCAAAGTACTGAACTGACTTCATACAGTAACAAAGACCAGTATCTAAACATTATACATACACAGGGGATGTGTAGAAATTTCAAAGGAAACTCTATTTTATTTTTAGTCAGAGAAAAAAATGAAAACAATGGAGATGTTCCAAACAGGAGACAAACAGTGGTAGAAATACAAGAGAGGTTCTGGAGCTGTTAGAAATGAAACTGTAGACAGCATCCCTGGGCTGCGAGCCCCTTTCTGGGAACGGGAGAGACATACCATTTGCTACCTGGCCTCGACTGGCAATGCTGCTTTGGGAGGCTGACTGCATCCAGTGAGGCCAGGGTTTTCAACTACAGTATCTTACAAAACGGGAAGCATTCTCAAAAATATATAAATAAATGGGAAACCAAGTTACAGAGTGGGATTTCAGTATGAACCCTATGTTGTTGAAATTTTACAGGACTTAAAAATATACACGAGAAAAGACAGGCATAAATAAGAAAAGGTTAAGTGGAAAAAAAAAGGTTAGACAATACCCATATATATGAACCCCTGACAGTGGATTATAAGGTTTTTATTCTTCTTTCCCTTGTATTTTCTAAGTTTTTAACAATGAACTAGTACAATTTTTTTGTATTCAGAAAGTTAATAAGAAATATGACAGAGAAACACAAGAGGGCGATATAACCAATCAGCAGCTTATTTCTCATTCAACTTCTCCCCCACCCTTCCATCCTGCCGGTCCATCTGACCGTCTGTCTGTCTCACTCCTCCCCACCTCCCTCTCTCCACAGGGTCTCACGCTAAGTAGCTCAGGCTGGCCTTGACCTCACTGTGTAGCCAGGCTGGCCCCAAACTCATGATCCTCTTGTCTTGGCCTCCCAAGTGCTGGGATTATAGGTATGCATCGTCACCCCTAGTTTTCTTTGATTATTTGTCAGTACAAGATACAAATCAGATTGCATGTATAAAAAAATAAGGGCAGGTAGTGAGTCTTTGTAACACTGAGGAGCTCTGGATCTGTTTCTAGGATGACATTCTTTCCTGGTGGTTTGCAAAGTATGGCCCTGGGACTAGTTACGTCAGCACTACCTGGAAACTTGTTATGCAGTAATGAAATCCCAAATCTACTCAATCAGA